AGTATATCATATATTTTAGCGTTTCATGTTTTATGGGCTTGTCTAAGCAGAAAAGAGTACTCTAATGAGTCACTGATAAAAATGTACATATAAATTAGTAGTTATTCTAACATGTAATGATAATACATCATGATACTCACTTTAAAAACATCAACATTCATGTATCCGCATTGAATACGTGCATAGAAGGTAATTTCAATAATTACATGTGTAAAAAAAGTAACGTTTGAACCTGAACTATACGATACGAACCTTATGAAAAACACATTAAATGGCTACATCTAACAACAACATGTAAAAAACTCGATAATTACAAAGGTACTTTATTCGTTTTTAATGTTTGATCTGATTTTCAGATTTATATTTCTATTTGAAAAAAAAACAACAACACAAAAAAAACACATAGGTTCAAAAATTAATTTAAGACAAAACTCTATAACCAGAGCGCTTTAGAAAGTTGGATGGATCTTTCTTCAGGAGGAGCAAACTAATGAAGATAGGTCCACCTCTCGAAAGCGCTCAAGTTATAGGGTCTTGTATTTTTGTCTATTTAAAAAAATAGATACTGTTCCCATCTGAGTCATAAATCAAGCTATTTTTACAAGTACGAAAAAAAAGCGCAGAATCGACAATAGAACACGTCAACAATTTTGATTAAACGTGCCTGTAAATGAGATATTTTGTGTTTCTACACATCTTTACTTATTTGCGCTTATTGATCTGTGTTATGCAGAATGTATAATGAACACTCGAGAACTAATATTCCAGGACATATAATTGAAATTTAATTCTGCAGCTTGTTATCGTATATAATTCCAGGCAAGGCATTACAAGTATAGAATATTTTAGGTGCTCACGATTGCAACGTTTGATAGTACTGACGTTTATAGTTAGAGAACAGAGGGATTGTTTTCAGTCTTCCCGCTGTGTAAGTTTCACAGACCTTCTGTCGTGGGCGCTAACGGATGGCAGAGAGATTATTAAAGCCAGGTCTTTTGACGTAGTGTATTATTCATTCCGTATACCTTATGACTGAAGCCAATTGTTTTGAAGGGAGACGGCAATACAGCATCTTATTCACTTTGAAAACGTCATCAACATACATGTATCCGCTTTGAGAAGAAGAACATTACGGCAAAATTATAATCTAAACAATAATTCAATTTGAATTACGTACGTTTAAACGAGGTTTCTCCAACTGTTAAACAATAACACGAGCTTGCTTATGACCTTCGTTCAATTAATCTCATTTTTTTCTCACAATAAGGCAAATTTTGAAATTAGACATTCTGTTAGAAATAACTCAAGAAGTTAATATTCAGATGAACTTGATAATTTTAAAATTAAGATTATAGTTATTCTAGGAACCAATTACACAAATTCAGTATAAAATATATTCAATCATTCTTTGTTTCTGTTGTTAGCCCAAAGCTACACAATGGGTTATCTGCACTCAGTCCTCATAGGGTAATCGGACACCGGATTTAAGAGTTTTAAGTCTGGAAACTCACCATTTGAAACGAAAAAATTGTATATTCATAGCAAGTTTCACTAATGAAAATTACCGAAATATTAAAGTTAACCTTTTTTTCTGATACATACTTTGTATTTTAAATATTCCATGTAGCCCCACCATTATTTTTAATGTTAAGCAGGTAATTCAGTTGCTCATGTTGAGCCAGTGATAAATTTACAGACTTACAAAGCATAAATCATGTTTCGATTATTTTTGAATTAGTTGTCGCTTATGAATATGAATTATGACAAAGAAATATTTATAGATATAGCAAATAAATAAATTTAATTTTTTTACTTACAGGCCACGAATCTAACTGAAAATGAATCTTTAAAGAAAGTCAAAATTGTTTTTTAAACAATGTACACGAATACTGAATTTTGTACACGGAAAAACACCAAAAAATAAAAACTTAAAACTGGAAAATAACAGGTGTATATATATATATTCTTATGAGTATTGCACGAAAGGAACTTAGTAAGTCTTATCTACTAAAAGTAAATTTTCAAATCATTCCTGTCTATCTTCAACGTGTTAACTTAATTGATAATTCTTATGCTCTCTGGAATATAAATACGATAACAAACTAGGTGTGGTCTCCTAATTGTATCTTAAGTATACTTCGAGATTCTAAGTATCTTAAGCATACTTCGAGATTCTAAGCCGCACTTATATCTTTGATTACTAGCAACAGAAGCTCAACGTGCGTATATAGTGACCTCTTAAATGGAGTGTAATATATATTTGAAATTACACAGAAATTAAGAACGTGGTTATATAGGTATGAAGCAAATTAAATATATCTAAACAACACCCAACACATTATAAAGAAAAACACTGAATATCAAAATTAATTGTAGTACGTTTTGAACATAAGTAAATAATACTTGAGAAAACACATTTTTTCACAGATTCCAATATGTTTATGCGTTAGGTCTCGTTAGTTATATATAAAACCATAAACGGCTTACTATTTCATATAAATGAATTATGTTATCTTATGGTAAACATAGGTCTATAGAAAACGTTTGCATGTAAAATTAAATTAAAAGTAGTTCAATGTAAGATTATTCCGAATAAATAGACTCATTATAAAAACCAAAAGTAAGAATTAACATTGAACGAGTCAAAATTTATAAAGCATTCAATAACGTTTTTCATGCATTACGGTATTTTCATTCACAAACCAAGAACAACAGTTAGGTCTTTCTAGATGATTTAATATGCTTTAAAATTTATAAATATTTATAACTGTAATTTAAAAAACATGTTTTAGATTCATTGTTTAGATTGGAAGTTAATGGAGTTACTATTTTTTAACTGTTTATACTTATGTTTGCGAGCAGCTCAGGACCGATTATTCTGGAAAATGTTACTGATCGAAACAAGAAGTTTGGTTTCAAAATAACTGTGAAGAAGAAGATGAAAAAAAATGCGTTTGCAAACCACTCATTTCTATGCATCGATTTCAAACGTGATTGCTAACGGTTTGGCTCCTATAGTTTAATTATGACCATTTTAAAAACGTTAAATATAAATTCAGGTATATAATACACATTTTAAAAATTCAGAAATTTGAAATACAGTGATAGAAGAATAAGAATTTGATATAAACTAATAGAAATATGAGAATTCTTTATCTCCAACACTGTATAGTTAAATTGCCAACGACGTCGTATCAGTAATCATAGACTTACAAATAAAAAAGTAAAAACTATTAACTCTAATTAATTTACTGTCATACTCTAAAGCTTGACAAACATAGAGGCTCAAGAGGTTTAAAAATAATTATAATGATGAGTTTTCATTATTTTTACTTTTTATGATTTTTATATACATAATTAACGTTAAGTAATACTGTCCGTTAATCTAAACAATTTTTTATATAAACATCAGAATAATTAGTTATTCTAAGCGTTCATATACATAACGATAGTTCGGATTTCTTCGTCAATGTCGTGACTAACTTGGAAAGTGAGGTGTTAATAGAACCAGTTTAGGAGAGCTATGATAACCTAATTGATGTATATTAGCAATCACTCGTTTTAGCAATTTACCTGCTCTAGTTTAATATAGTCTTTCATACATTGTTTGTTTGATGTCGTAGATTGCACAGACAAACGTTCTCAAAGTTTCCTTAATTTAAAACGAATACTAATACCTTCTTTAAATTAGAATAGAATATATTTGCCCCCAAAAAAGAATAATTTTAATAAGGACCTCATACTTATAATTTTTGTTATAAAGGTTCCTAGTCAATATGCGACGTAATAATTTAAATGTTTTGTAAGGGAAAACATTTCTAATGATTTCAAATACGAATCAATACCGAACTCTTTTTGCTCATATTCCCTGCAGTAATATTTAATTAGTAGTTGTTCCCTAAAATAATTGAGTGTATTATGGTACACATGCTAAGAAGCACTTTTTTCTTGCAGGCTGATTTTAACAAGATCTTGCAACGTAATAATGTACTAACTTTTATTCAAACTTATCTGCTATATCAAACATTCCAGAAGTTCATTTGAGCTTCAGTGCCTTTAGTGTGCCATCATTATTTATTGTAATAATGTCTCTCTCATATGTAATTATCTCTAAAATTACTAGAATATAGAATATCAGATATCTCTTAGAATAGTCGAAAAATATAATGACATATGTATTACTTACTGATTTGTATGAGTTAAATTTTGTCAAATAGGCTAAACTATCTAAATATATGTGTTATTTATTTCCTTTCGCAATAACACGTGCTTGAACATTTCAAATTTGAAGTTTCGTCTGGCTCTTGCATTTTACTGAAGAAATGTTGTAACGAAGTAACGTTTTTTTTTTACAACATATATCTATCTGTGATATCAGTTCAACTTGCATAAAATACATTATTAATGAGTATATTTAACGACATAGACACCAATAAACAAAAATCGGGCTTCTCAGAAAATATATCACATTATCATCATTTCTCATGAACAGCTACAAATAATCTGAAAGTACCTTATTTTGGGTTTCAAGAAACGTGTGCAATAGCATATTAATATGGCTCCCAAGGTATAAAACGTATATAAACTTTAAAACTTCTAAAATAAGCTAAAGGGATCCCAGTGAAAATTTTCTTTTCATAAGTGACAAGAAGCAACGAAAACACACAAATATATAACTCAAAAGAACAATACAATGAGAAGTAACGATTCCAGAGGGTCTAACTGAACGGACTCATATAAGTTAAACACTAGGCTACCTTTTAGGTGAAAAGGAAATATTGAAAGGCAAATTATGTTTATCAAACTATTTCATAGTCGTAGGAGAGTCGAACCCTTTGGCGAAAAGCATGGTCTCTTTTATCCGTTTCCATGGAAACTTCAATGTGCGCAGTAGCTCGCTCGTAGTGTAGTAAACTCCGAACAGGAAGCGACGAGAATGTGGTGACCATCCAACAGCCTGCTAGTCTAATGTTTCACTTCGTGCGAGAAGTCACAAGTGTTTTCTCGAGTCGTTTGATGTGCTTAGAGCAAATAGAGTACACGTAATTCTAGGGTGGAACGTAGAGAAAACTCTTACATCTTATGTGCAATTATTTTTGTCTAACGACATTGTCACACTGCATGTGTCATAACAGTTGAGTGCTTAATTTCTTGGTTTACGTTTTTCACTTAAGAAAGTTCAATAGTCATTAGAACTAGTAGATTGAAAAATAGTTTCGAAATAATAATAATAGACCAGTAAATACATTTCCAAACTTCTCTCTGTCCGGGTTTAAACGGTTCCAGAAATAAGCAAGTAAGAATAAACAAGCAAGAGAAACACACAAAAAAGATAAAACAAAATGTCTATGGTCACACCCCCTTCGCTCTTATTAGATAGTAGTGAAGGCTCGTGGAATACGATTCACTACGATTTGGTTAACATCACCGATTCTAATGTCTCGTCAGATTCTTACAACCAAGACTTCTTGGCTTCCACAACATATCGGGATCCTTCTTATTATTCCCGTAACTACAGGATAATTGGTACGTTTTTTCAAGGCATTATATTTTCGGTGGGCGTTTTAGGAAACATCATGGTCGTTATTGTTGTGAGAAAGACACGCAGCATGCGGACTCCGACCAATTGTTATCTGGTTAGTCTGTCGATTGCCGACCTGATGGTTCTGACAGCATCAGTCCCAAATGAAATCTTATCGTATTTTTTACTCGGTGATGAATGGATCTGGGGAAGAGTAGGATGTGCGCTCTTCATCTTTCTCCAGTATTTAGGAATCAACGTCTCATCCTTGTCTATCACGGCCTTTACAGTTGAACGATATATCGCTATTTGTCATCCGATGCGAGCCCAGATGGTCTGTACTGTCAGTAGAGCTAAGAAGATCATTGTTGGAGTCTGGGCGTTTGCTTGTCTTTACTGCTCTCCTTGGCTTTTCCTCACCAAGATAAAACCCATCTTCTACATGGGCCATACTAAGAAAGAATCTTGCACTTTTGCCTTGTCAAGAGAGCAGTACTTGGGTTATTTTTTTGCTGATCTCGTGTTGTTTTACATCTTTCCTCTTGTTCTGTCTTGCGTATTATATGGTTTGATAGCCCGAATTTTGTTCACAAACGAAATTTCCAAAAACCCAGGAAGAGGTAACGGCTCATCCGAAGAGTCCAAAAAGTCAACTAAGAACACAAATGCTAGGGTACAGGTGAGTAAGAACAAACGTTACGCATTACATTATATATTGTTATTTTCTCTAACCTTAGCTATAGTTCTCAAAGCTCTAAAAGGTATGAAAATGACATTTTAAAACACTAGTTAAATGAACTGAAGCAATACATAAGATATTTTAAATAAACTAAAGATCTCTAACAGTTAGGAAAAGGTGGCTGTGTCTTTAAAGTTTTTCTTAGAAAATGATATATAAATGCAATTACTACATCCTCATAGATATATGTGCCAATTTATATTCATATTACGTGTTTACACAAAAGATCTTAATAGTCTTTGTAGAATATTATAAAGATAGTTTCAATGTTTACTGTAAATACTAGTATAACAAAGATTCTTCAAATAACGATATCTACAATGATTTATGTATCAGAAATATTCAAAGTTTTAGAAGCTTTCAAAGCTGTTATTTCTGATAAGAAATATTATACTTTCTGTCGATTTCCCCCAGCTGACTCAGGATTATAACGTAGAGTACAGATAAATTTTTGTATCATTCCTCATTCTTACTTAGTGTTTCTAGTACCTTTGTGCTAGCGTGCTATTAATTTGCGAGTTATTAGATTTTTCTTCGTGAATATTGTCGAAACGTTTTTTTTTTTGCCAGGTCTTGTCTATATGATATTAATAGATCTGTTGATCCTGGGCTATTATAACTGCCTTTGTTAGATGATACTACCATGAACTACTACTTTGTTAGATGATACAACCATGAACCATGAAGATATTTCATGCAACATTTTTTTCAGTTGTTCCTTGCCTGGTTGTTTTTTTTTAAACTTTTTTTGCGGGATGATGTTTATCTTGTTTTTGACTCTAGATTCTATGTTCTATGTTCTCGGCAAAACTTATGTAGTTATCGGAATGAATAAATTTATCGTGACTGCTCGTTTCGGAAGTGACGGAATACATTACGGATGAGTGTCCTATTAATAAGTTAATCCAATTTGAATGTGAAGTAATGAGTATTATGGTCTGGAAACGGAACCAGTGTAGGTATGGCTTGTCTTACTCTGTTTGGTCTGATGGTTAGGGCTCTTGACTCGCAATCTGCGGGTCGAATGATCGAAACCCGGCGCCGAAAATGCTCACTTTTTTCAGCGTGCGGGCGTTATAATGTGACGGTACTTTCTACAGTTCATTGGTAAAAGAATTGTCCGAGTGTTGACGGTGGGTACTGCCGGACGGTTGCCTTCCCTCTGTTCACCAGTTAAAAATTAAGGACGGCGGTAGATAGCATTAGTAGCCTAGCCATACACAAAACAAATGAACTATTCTAGTTCGTGCCCGGCATGGCCAGGTGGATAAGGCGCTCGACTCACAATCTGAGGGTCGCGGGTTCGAATCCGCATACCATCAAACATGCTCGCCCTTTCAGCCGTGGGGGCGTTATAATGTGACGGTCAATCCCACTATTCGTTGGTAAAAGAGTAGCCCAGGAGTTGGCGGTGGGTGGTGATGACTAGCTGCCTTCCCTCTAGTCTTACACTGCTAAATTAGGGACGGCTAGCGCAGATAGCCCTCGTGTAGCTTTGCGCGAAATTCCAAAAAACAAACTGTTCTAGTTCGAATAGGTCTTTGTGCCACATTATGTTAAAGTCATGAAACGTAATGTAATAAAGCAAAACGTGACAATAAGCGCGATGTGTATAATTTGTGACTTGTTGTGTCTCATATATAACGCGATTGTCTTCAGTTGATCTGTCACAGATTTCATCAGCGAGATAATGTTGTACGACGGTGAAAACAAAATGCTGGGGCTGTCACTAATAATACAGGCCTGTAAATGTAAACTTCATAAAGTTGTTTTGGTTCTAATAACGAATTTTCTATGATTCAGCTACGCAGATTTCGAAAATAATGTTAATTTTTTTTCATCACGTAAGGATTTTTTTTACAAATCGGGATTAAAAAAATCTCTAACTCAGATGAAATAATTATTTCGTTTATCACAATGGACATTTTATATTATTATATTTGTTAACAAAAATAAAAACAAACTGAAGAAAAGGGAAGAACATTGATGTCAAACGAATATTCATCCTCATTCTTCTAGATTTTTTTTTGTGAAATCTACGTCTTTTAGTCTCAAAACAACGTGTTGTGGTCTTTTATGTATTGCGTCTGGAGCATCTTGTTTCAATGACCAGCAGTTTATCAACTATCATGCTGATGTTCCACCTTCTCTGATACCTACTCTCCATTTCCTTGATGTCTTGATGAAATCACTTCCTTTGTTCTGACGGCACCGAGATTTTCAGGGAAATAGTCAATATGTTAGTGTAAAAAATGAACTTTCAAGCTCATATTACAACCCAATTCTTTGAATTTATAGAGCATGTAATAACAATATTTTCGTATTTTGGGTCCTTGTCGTTTCTTAAAACTTTTTCAATAACATCTTTAAAGGCAATCCACACTTCTTTTTCAACGTTCCTTGTTGTCTTTTTGAACTGTTCATCCGAAGTCAATTTCCTAATCTGAGGCCCAACAAAAATGTGTTCTTTACGTTTTGCTTATGAAAGAGCTGGGAATTGCCCACATAGATACTTAAAACAGTCGCCGTTTTTGTCTAAGGCC